GACCATTAGCTTTGCTGCGTGCAATTAATTTCTTTTAGTTAGGATAGTGGTGGCTATTTAATCCTGTAGTTGAGTTGGTAGTGGTTGGTTTTGTTTAGTTCTATTGTCTAAAGGATGTTGTAAGGTTGCCGATCCATTATTCTTTTAGAGCATTAATTTTGTTAGCCTCTTGAACTACGGGATTGTAATCTATTTAGGATATTTATGAATACATTTGTTTAAGTTAATCGTACTTGAATTAGCTTTTGCTTCATTGCCACTCGAGATGTTAATATTCATTTAGTGGATGGTTTATAGTTAGTAAGGTTGCCTTGAAGGGTTTGGTTAATGTGAAGTCGGTATTAAATGGTTTATCTGTATAGGATTGAGTTTCTCTTAAAACATTAGCGTTGTTGTTCCAATTGTTCAAGCTCTCGTGAGTGTGGGAAATCAGAGTAGCGCAGCAGGAGCGTGGTAGTTTTATTGCTTAGTGTTGTTGTGAGGAAAATTCTCTTGTTTATGTGAAAATTTTAGGTAGGCTTAGTAACGGTCCCTGTTTGGAAATGGTGAAATTCCTGGGGCGTTACAACAATGCTTGTTTTAAAGATGTTTTCAACTGTTTTTCTCTCTCACGTTTTCTAAAACCAATTTTCTCGTAAAACGTGAACGGAGGCTAGACCCATGACCGAGATTGCCGGCAACTTAAAGTTTTTCTCGGCTGACTTGCTCGTTTGAGCTAGAGCAAGTGCCGCACAATCGCTCGAGCTGCATCAAAAAGGTGCGATTGTGACACCAGGCAGCGTCTTATGAGGTTAGCCCGTCGTTGGTGGCGTAGGCGTGTGCGTTGTGGACATTTTGTGTGCGGTCGAGCTCTCTTCTTGGCTTGACTTGATTCCAAGGACTTGAGGCCAAATATGATCACATCATTAGTTGTAGATATATATTATATCTGCATATATAGAAGAATTCACACCTAAATTTTGCACCACTCAAATCTAGCGACCTAGTGGCAGCGTGGTTTCCTTTGCAGATGACAGCATTCTCTACAAAGATTCGTTGACAACCCACGATAAACGAACAGATTCGATGACACGTTGATTTACGATAGATTTGTTATGGCCTTCCGATCAGCGACTAAATAAACCTCGGGATAAACGAAGTGCTCTAACAGTTGACGGGCGGTCGACGACGAAGAAGAAGCTATAACGGTCTGCTCCGGCGACGAAGAAGAAGCTCGAACGGACAGAAACAAAGGTGTTTATGGAAGGAGAGCAAACGAGAAAAGAAGAAGAAACGGCGAAAGGAGGAGGATTGTTTCGAAAATTTGCAATAATTGAGAATTTTGGAGATTTGGGTAGTATTTTGGGGATTTGGTAATTTTTATCTGTGGAAAGTCTAATTAGACATAAAATAAGGGATTTAAAATGTAATATTTCAAATAACCAATTTTGAATTTCAAAAAATAATTAATATTTAGGTGTAAACATAAAAGGATATAATGGTAAATTAGTAATGGAGTACCATCTTAAATTTAAATAAATTTAAATGAGGTTATTCACGAGACAAAAGTGTAAATTTTGTACCTTGAATCTTTTCATGTAATTATAATCTCTAGGTACTAATCCCTTGTTATTTTAAAAGACGGAATTGGCAGCCAATTTAAAACGTAAGAGAAACCCTGGGGGTTTCGAGCTAAATAGCCTTTTTGAAATGCCCATTATGAAATGTGGTCCCTCTCCTCATTTTTTTTGTTTTGTAAACATTTGCTGACATCACCATCCATTCCAAATTACTGTCCTACCCCTTCATTAACATACTTAAAATTGTTACTTTTACCCTCTTTTTTCATTTGAATCTCATATTTTCTCTCTCCTTCCCCATCATCTCTCGGTGGTTCTTCTCCCTTCTCTCTCTTCTTCTCTCTTTTCAAATTTTTTAGATTTTTACGGATTTCAAACTTCTCCTTTTTTTCTTTAAAATTTTCAGAATTTATGGATTTCAAACTTTCTCTTTCTTCACATTTTCTCAAAATTAAAATGAACATATTTTTTAGATTTTTCTCTACATCTCTCCTCTATTTCGTTTTTTTTTCGATTTCGCATGAATCAACGAAAAATCTCTCTCCTCTGTTTATTTTTTTTCGTAAAAACTTTTGAATATTCTTTGACCAACGAAGTAAGCTATTTGGGTTATGTACAATATAAGTAACTTCATTTTTTTTCTAACTGGAAAATATCCCGATTATGGAGAAAATCAAACGAGATTGAAGAAAAAGAATGAGAGAGAAGAAAAAGAAAACGATAACAGAGAGAGAAGAGAAAGAGAGAGAAAGAAAGAGAAGAGAAAAAAAGGAGGGAGAGAAGAGGGAGAGAGAAGAGAAAAGCAAGTAAAAAATTCGCTCTCTCTCCTTTCTCGCTTTCTCTCTCCTCTCTCGCTCTCTCTCTCCTCTCTCGTTTTCTTCTCTCTCTTCTCGTTTTCTCTCTCCTCTCTCGTTCTTTTTCTCCCTCTCTCTTCTCGTTTTTCTCCCTCTCTCTTCTAGTTTTCTTGTTCTCTCCACGAATGCATTATGGGCCATAAACAATTTTCTGTCCTTACTACAGAATCCAAATAGCGTACTTCGTTGGTCAAAGAATACTCAAAAATTTTCGAAAAAAAATGAAACAGAGGAGAGGGATTTTTCCTTAATTCATGCGAAACTGAAAAAAAAACGAAACAGAGGAGAGAGGTAGAGAAAAATCTAAAAAAAATTTCATTTTAATTTTGAAAAAATTTGAAGAAAGAGAAATTGAAATCCATAAAATTCTAAAAGTTTTGAAAAAAGAAAGGAGTTTGAAATCCGTAAAAATCTAAAAAATTTGTAAAGAAAGAAGAAGAGAGAGAAGAGAGAAGAACCCCATAGGGAGGAAGATGAAGAATGGGAAGAGGGAGGAAGAGAGAGAATATGAGATTCAAATGAAAAAAAAGAGAGGAGGAAATAAAAATGGTAAGTATGTTATTGGAGGGTATAAAATAATTTGGGATGGATGTCAGCAAATGTTTAAACAATAAAAATGAAATGCTATTAAGTACAATTTTCCAAAATCCTGACTCCTTAACCTTCTTTTCTTTCCTCTTCTTCTCCAAGCCGCCACCCCCTTTTTGTTTTCTCAGCCAGCCTCCCTCTCCGACGAGCGGCGCCGCCGCCTATTCCTTTTGCAGCAGTGGCAGTTCGGCCACCACGAAAAATCCGGCGACTCTCGTGCGGCGGCGCGACGTCTTTCCACGACTGACGGCTTCGAGCAGACACACGAACGGCGCACCCTTGCTGCAGCATTGCCTCCGACCCGCGGCGGTTAAGACCATCTCCGACGACCTTCTTTGTAGCCACGAATAGTCACGCGCGCAGACCTCCAGCAGCGGTGTGTTCTCCACGCGGCGGCGCTCGACGACGGAGCATACCCACGACCAGCGCGAACTCCGGCGGCCTGTTTCGTGGTCCCGACGCCCAGACCCGCGGCGGCGTTCCCTCATTCCGGCGCTAACCTACGCCGGTTCTAAGCCAAATCCGTGGTACCCACCCCCTGTCTGCACCGAATTCGCAAGCCCAAACACTTTCGCCATTGTTTCAGCAAAGTTCAGTAGGTAACGGCCTTCTTGAACACCATTTTAGATTCAATTTGAACACCAAAAATAACCTGCTGTTTATTTTTGTTGCCTAGGATCAAACCAACGCAAGAGTTGGGAGCTTTTAGGCATGTTGTAAGTAGCATTGGGGGTATGTGTGCACGTTATTGTGTGCAGATTGAAGTCATACTTAACTGTTTTTCCTTTTAAGATTTTGAATGGGTAGGTATGATTGGTTCTGTATAAGTATGATTTATTTGGTTGATTGAGTTTCCATCCTGTGTATTATTGTTTGTGCGTTTCGAAAAGGTTCTTGTGAGATCTAAGCGGCAAAATGACAACAGCGAAGAACTTGGCTAATTCCTCCGTGATCCACGRACTCTCAACTGGTTTTAACTAGTTCGAATTTCGAATTTCTAGCTTATTTCCACTTGGTTATTCCAATGTCCTCTGGATTAATGTTTTTCCGTCTGGTGCTGGACCGATTCTACTGTTCTACTGTTGGAATTTCCTCCAATTCTCTTATTGCTCGTTACTCTCGACTGGGCCAGATCGAAAAGGCTCGGTCTGTGTTCGATCAAATGCGTGAGAAAAGCATTGTTTCATGGAACTCCATCGTTGCTGGGTACTTCCAGAACAATCAGCCTGAGGAAGCCCAGAACATGTTTGATAAAATGTCTGAGAGAAATACGATATCTTGGAATGGTTTGGTTTCTGGGTATATTAAGAATGGAATGATCAGTGAAGCTAGGAAGGTGTTTGATAAAATGCCTGAAAGAAATGTTGTTTCCTGGACTGCAATGGTCAGGGGGTATGTGAAGGAGGGCATGATTTATGAGGCGGAGACACTTTTTTGGCAAATGCCAGAAAAGAATGTAGTATCTTGGACCGTGATGTTGGGTGGCCTGATTCAAGAGGGCCGGATCGATGAGGCTTGTAGGCTTTTCGATATGATGCCAGAGAAGGATGTGGTGGCAAGAACTAATATGATTGGAGGGTATTGCCAAAAAGGTCGTTTAATTGAAGCTCGCAGGCTGTTCGATGAGATGCCTCGTAGGAATGTCGTATCTTGGACTATGATGATAACTGGATATGTACAAAACCAGCAAGTGGATATTGCTAGAAAGCTGTTTGAAGTCATGCCAGAGAAAAATGAGGTTTCATGGACAGCCATGTTGATGGGCTACATCAATTGTGGGCGGCTTGATGAGGCTTCGGAACTTTTCGACGCAATGCCAATTAAGTCTGTTGTATCATGTAATGCTATGATTCTTGGCTTTGGCCAGAATGGGGAGGTCCCAAAAGCAACACAAGTGTTTGATCAGATGATAGAAAAAGATGAAGGGTCATGGAGTGCTATGATTAAAGTGTATGAAAGAAAAGGCTCTGAGTTAGAAGCATTAGAGTTGTTTCGTTCTATGCAAAGAGAAGGCATAAGGCCAAACTTTCCTTCTTTGATCAGTGTTCTTTCGGTTTGTGCTAGCTTGGCAAATCTCGATCACGGTAGAGAAGTACATGCTCAACTGGTGAGATCCCAGTTTGACCTTGATGTTTATGTTGCTTCTGTTCTTATCACAATGTATGTAAAGTGTGGCAATCTAGTGAAGGCAAAACAAGTATTTGATAGGTTTCCAATCAAGGATGTTGTTATGTGGAACTCTATTATCACAGGATATGCCCAACATGGTTTAGGGGAGGAAGCATTACAAGTTTTCCATGATATGCATTTTTCAGGTGTCATGCCTGATGATATCACATTTGTCGGAGTTCTTTCAGCATGTAGTTACACTGGGAATGTGAAAAAGGGCCTAGAAATTTTCAATTCCATGGAACCAAAGTATCATGTGGAACGAAAAACTGAACACTATGCGTGCATGGTTGATTTGCTTGGTCGAGCTGGTAAGCTAAATGAGGCAATGGGTTTAATTGAAAAAATGCCAATGGAAGCAGATGCTATTATTTGGGGGGCTTTATTAGGTGCTTGCAGAATTCACATGAAGTTGGATTTGGCTGAAATTGCAGCAAAAAAGCTTCTTGAGCTTGAGCCTAAGAATGCAGGGCCTTACATCTTGTTATCAAATATTTATGCATCTCAAGGTAGATGGAGCGACGTTGTCGAGTTACGAAGAAATATGAGAGATAGAAGTGTGAGCAAGTCACCAGGCTGTAGCTGGATCGATGTGGAGAAGAAAGTACATATGTTTACGGGAGGTGACAGCATGGGACACCCCGAACATTCAGAGATCATGAGAATATTGGATTGGTTATCTGGATTGCTCAGAGAGGCTGGATATTACCCGGACCGGAGTTTTGTGCTACACGACGTAGATGAAGAAGAAAAAGTGCAAAGCTTGGGATATCATAGTGAGAAATTGGCTGTGGCATATGGACTTCTCAAAATACCAAAAGGGATGCCAATTCGGGTAATGAAGAATCTTCGAGTTTGTGGGGATTGCCACACTGCAATTAAACTAATTGCAAAAGTTTCAGGGAGAGAGATCATCCTGAGGGATGCCAATCGGTTCCACCATTTTAAGGATGGCTCATGTTCTTGCAAGGATTATTGGTGACATATGTTATGTGTTACCATCTCAAGCTTGAAACGTTGCATCAACATATGCCCATGGATCCAGATTGAAGTCCTTATTTGATCAAATCATTGATGGCCAACATCCAAGTGAGTACACTTCAATCTACTTCTTCAATCTTCACACATTAAAAATATTTGTTTGATCAAGTTTAATGATTCCCTAACTCGATATCGATATTCATACAGTCTAGCAATTGAACAAACAACTTCTACTTTAGAATGTCAAGAAGTTTGTTGTGACTTGTCATTAGGCTTTGCTTGTACAAAACAACATTAAGAATTTGACCTTATAGAGAAAGTATGATATATGGTTCTTTTACGAGCTATAAAAAGACCTCTTCCTATATTAATATATGGTCTAAAGGACAACAAGACTTATTTAAAACCTCCAATCGACATGAGGTACCTGGATTAGGGTACTGGCGTAGGCACCTTCTAAAAATTGAGACTCAGTTTTGACTTTGAAGTATAGTTACTCTCTAGATCCTGGTTCAGGAACTTGGACATCTTATAAATTGTAATTATTATATGATGGCCACACATTTGGATGGAATCTTCCAAAACACACTTTATTCCTAGCAAATATAATCAGTCATACTCAGACTACCACATTTGTAATCGGAGGATAATACATGCTAATAAGTTATTTGCAGTGGATCGTTTAGCCGGTCAGCTTCGATATGATGCTCGCCTTGGAAGATGCCTTCCTCTAAAGATGAACACTCTCACAAGGTAAAATTAGTCTTGTCTTATATTTACTGGTGTTTTTTTTTTTTTGATTCTAAAATTTGATTTCACCATTGGGAGAATATGTCTCTAATTCCAGTATATCAGCGATTGGAATTATTCTACTTTTCAATAATTTTTATTCTAAGTTTCTTTCAATTGGATACTTCTGTGGGGAAGCCTGTATAAATTTTACATTTCATTGTTGTTGATATAACAGGAGTGTGTGACAAAGGGGAAAGAAGAGAAGAAGAAAGTCGTAGCTGCCAGTGTACCTCCAGAGCAAGATGAGATACCTCTCTTCTATTCGGACCTTATGCCCTTGCTTGTAAGCATTGTGTTGCATCTATTTACTATCATTTCAATCAATTAGTGGTGTTACTGTTGTCTACCCTTCTCTTTATCTCGTCTCTGGGCACCTAATTTTGGCATTATCTTGGCAGGTAAATGAGGATTCAGATGTTGGAGAAGATGCATTTGTGTAGTTAGGGTCTTTAGTTCCATTGGTTTTGGATCTTGTTAATGCGAGATTCACATTCGAAACTCTAACAGAACCGTATACCGGCTTCATTTCCAGCATATTATAAATTCTTGAAGGAAATTGACTACTGATGGTTCCAACTTGTTCTAAATTATGACTGTAATTCTTTTTCCATGTTTAATGCAATGGAGAGTGCAAGGAACACAATAGTTTATCATTTACCTTTGTGAACCAACCAGCAGTATCATAGTCAAATTGAACTTTTAAAACTCATTACTTGCATCACTGTTATTTGGTGTGTTCGTTATGTTCTCAAGATTATCTCATTCCTAAAGTTTGTGATTAATGGAAATCGTGCACGATACTCCCTCTTCCTCAAAGCTTTAAAACGACTGAAGTGAGTTTGGTATCACTTTTTGAAATAGTGAAATGGTTTTAGCTAATTAAAAGAACTTATCAAGTTTTTCATAATGTTAGGATTTTAAAAACATCTAGAAGAACTTTAAATTAGTTCTAGAGAGAATGCTTAACCGACATTTTTTTTAAGGTTATCTTATATTCACTCTTAGTACTGAAATTGGGTGGGGGGATAGAATTTTGTTATAGAGTTAGAGTTGTAGATAATTAAAAAGTCTACATGGTATCAATATAACTTCTGAATGGTTTTCTCACTATTTTTCTTTTGGCTTCTGTTCAATTTATCATTTCCAGATGCATGAAGCATATGCAGAAACAGGCACCTCCATATGGTGTAGAACTACGAGAGGATGAGTTCATATCACACATGGAGGGAACTGCTAGCTCCCAGAGGGTAGTGCGACACATTGGATCAAGAAGTTGGCCTGGTTAGATCTTAGAAATTTTTCATTGATTCATTGCCCAAATGATTGACCTGTCCTGATATCTTGGAGTTTTTAATATTGCTCTTTCCCATTGAGAAAATTTTCGAGCATGAAGATTGTGTTTCTGTTTCAGGAAGGCTTACATAAGTAATTACAGCCTCTACTTTGAGGCTTCGGATGTGATAACATATGAAAATGCGGTTGAGATAGAACTCTCAAGGGACACTCTTCACGGTGTGACTTCAACTGGACCTTGGGGTGGACCACTTTTTGACAAGGCAGTAGTCTACAAGTCCCCCGCGATGTGAGGATATTTATTTTTTTGTGATGATCGAGCAATTAATGTAAAATAAAATCCTTAATTTATAATTAACCCAAATATTTATCTCACTGTTATAGGTCCGAGGAAGTTGTGTTGGAGTTTCCAGAGGTAACAAGTTCTACACGACGTGATCATTGGCTTGCAGTAACAAAGGAGATCATACTCTTGCATCGTTTTTTGCAGAAATTTAATTTGAACAGTACAATACAAGTGTGGGAAATGCATGTTCAAGAAGAATATTAGGGATTATAAGGCTTCATACAGCAGAGAACTGCTTAGAATATCTCCACCCATTCCTACAAAGTTCATAACGTTTGCCTTATGTGACGAACCAAAGGGCGACTCGACTATGTACTATAATAACTTGCTGAGAATTTAAAGTTGCCGAATATTGAACAACCATGTTGTGTTCAGAGTTATCCAACTCCATAGTAAAAGAAATAGAGAGTTTTTAATGTATGTGAACGTGATCAAGCACAGTCTACTTACAGATTGCCATTAATCAGGCTAGAGAAAGAAGATAAGGAAGTTTCCATTGCCGAGGCTACTGCTGTAGGGCTGAAAGAAAGGAATCGGCAGAAGTGCACTCATCTTCCTGGCAAGTATCTTACTCTAAGAAAATGTTGTAAGAATTACATTCTCTAGTGACTTTTGTTGAAATCAGGACTTGATAAAATGATACAGGAGCTACTGAAGCCACTTAAGAGCAGGTTGCCTTGGTTCATAGAAGTTCTTGAATGGGAAAGACAAATGGCTACCATTGTTGTGAACGAGATGGTGCAAACTGCAAACACTGCAATGTTGAAGATTTGGTCCATTTTCCATATCCAAAACCCGTTAAGGTATATTCTATTTGTATGCGTCTCCTTAAAGTCATCTAACCATTCATTTCTAAGGAGATTCAATCATAATTTATTTGGATAAAAGTATTGCTCAATATAGGCAGTGGTAAATTTACAAATTTCAAATTACCCCTTCCAGGAACTTTAGTTGTTGCGCTGGATAACCTTAATAAGTTCCATAATCCTTTTTAACCTCTTCGTTTTAGTTTGTTCAATCACCCACATTCAGAAACACACCATTAACCATGAAAGAAAGAAAATTATAGCATAGGGGATTGAGTGATGATGTGTAGGTATTTGAAAAGAGAACCTACTCCAAAACCACACAAAAATCTGTCCACTTACTGGAAGAGAATATAGTATTGTCTTTCTCTTTAATAATTTTAATACAATCGGTTTCACACTGGTTGTGACAGGGAGGGGTGGGGGTAGAAGGGAAATATCTTATGTCCAAACAGTAGACAGCTTTTATTTTTTTCAGATTAATGAGGAGAAACCATTATAGGATGGTTCAAGTGGCCAATGGAAATAAGAAAGGACTTAGAAAGAATGAGTTCAAACCATGAACTCATTCACAAAATAAAGGCAAAAGAAGCGCTCATAAGGTCATTTCAATTCTAGTTTATTTGAGTTCCACAACATCTGAAGGGGTCGTGTCATTTGAGCCCTTAAATTTTTTAGTTAAAAGATATATGTCTTAACTAGTTGAGTTAGGTTCGGGTTGGTACAATTCTAGTTTATTTCATATTATATTGTTGAGGAAAACAACACATTTTTAGAAGTTGAATGTGACTGCTATAGTATTGACGATTAGATACATGGCTTAGCAGATTGCAAGGTGCCTTTTTATAATTCATCCGGATTAAGTGCTATTTCAATATTTCTTTAGATTAATTTGAATTAAAGAAATTGCTCGTCTCTTTTTAGTTTAAAGTAGTGTTTGTTATTGGCTCAAGCAACTTGAGAAAAACCCACTCAAGACTCCACTATTTGCTTACAATATCTTGTTTGTTGCTTTTTTTTCCTATTGTCTAGTTGAGGCATTGCCATATTTTTAGGTTATCTCTCCACTTTCATTTTGGGGAGAAGAAGAAGAGATTTCATTTCACTTCATAGTGATAAATCTCTTGAAAATTGTTAGCTTTTTGTGAGCTAATGGATCAATCTCTATCAGTGTTCACTCGTCCCGTCCCCGCCGTTGTTTAATTCCTTGTTCCAAAAAATTTTCCACAAAATTTTGCAGAAATTGGGGTGGGGTTTCTTGGGGATATTTGATCCTCTATGGAAAATTATTCTTCATTTATTATTTTTTAAAAAACAATTTTTCAATAAAATAACATGTCTAAAAAAAAGTTTCTAATTAAAGGTTTAATTCTCAAATCTCAAATGATAAATCTCTATTTACATGATTAAATCATATTCATTTAATGAAAAAAAAAATCTCATGTTACCAATAAAAATAATCTAATATTTTATCTTAGTCCAATAACTAAATACGTTAATTAAAATAATATATAACGGGATGGGCCCTTGCGAGAAGGAGAATGTGTCACATTTGGGGTGAGGTCCATTTGCCAGGAAAATAGAAATCCTATATCAATCTAATAACAAGATGAGTACATTAATAGGCTGTTTAGAGTATAATCTATGGAGGAGAATTTTTGCCTTCCATTTTTGTTCTCTATTTTTTAATATATACCTATTTTATCCTTGAAATTCCTACGGGACACGACTATTCGAAGATATCTGTTGAGATAAATTAATCTAAAAGAGATGAGATTGTTAAATTAAGCGACGATGCATCTATTCACGTATAGGTGTGATTGCAAACCACCTATAAAAGAAAAGAAATCTATGTATTTTTTTATTTTGCCCAAAATTCATGTTCGAGACACTGTAAAACTTCCTTGTGAATTATGTGGCTGGGCGAAAACAAGTGGTGCAGGTGATTGATAATGATGAAAGAAAATGAAAGTAACGAGAGTTGTGAAAATTGGAGACCTCCATCAGCGACGATGAAAATGACGTTGGCGTCATATATCTGTGATTGAAGGTTTGTTTTTCTATACTTACTATATCTAAATGGGGCTATGAGGAGAATGTTTACCTCCTCATTTTTCCCCCAACTTTTTAAGATATACCAAGTTTACCCTTCATATATATTATATATTATTCCATGTACCTTTTCTATTGGATGCTATTATTTGAATGAGGTGTCTGTTTAGAGAAGTAGTACGTTGAAAAGGTATGACTATTCTTCCTTTATAAACTGTTTATAGAAGCAGTCCGTTGATGAAGAGGTATGACTGTTCTTCATTGCCAAACCATTTATAAAAGGAAAGAGTGTAAATTAAAAACTCATCTTCTTTCCCCGAAAATGTCTACAAAAATCTTTCTTTTATCAAAGAACTCATACATTTCCAAAAGGATTGGAAATTAAAAGTTTTTGTTCTTTGTAGGGGAAACATTGAAGTATGCCAAAATCAAGATTTGCGAATACAAAAATTAATTTTAGCTGATGAAAAGGTAAAGTATAAAAATGGATGTGAATTATGAGCGTTATGTTTTATAAATTTATTTAAATTATTGTATTGTTATCCTATTGTGAGTATTATTTTTTATAAACTGACCATTGTTGTTTTCTCTTTAATTATTTGTTTTTGGATCTCTATAAAATTATATTTAATATTTGTATTTGTATGTTATTTTCATGATCTTTTGAATTTTTTATTTTATGTTTATATTTTTTTTTATCCTAAGAGAGAAATAAGCACGACAGTACACTTTTATGGCCAAGATACAAGCATCTTCCTTCTTCATTCCCCATTTAACTCTAAATGAAGATTCAGGTTGAGATGAATTTAAGAATAGATAGAAAAATTGACTATATAACGCATTCTTTTTTTCTGCAATTCAGCCATAGCAATTGTAAGACAATGTCTCTGTCCAAGGAGACTACAAGTTCGTCTAAATTGTTCCGATGATTTTGTCTATTTCGTCTGCTGAAAAAACATCAATCTTCATTGGTCGCGAATGCTGAGATTTAAAAAATATATATATTGTATTTATTAATTTTAATTTTTGGATTAATTGATGTTAATTTTGTATTGAGTATCTGTTTCCTAAATTGATGTGGGCAGTTACTCTTATCTTAACTACTTTTAGATTATGTGTTTATATTTTTTAATTTTGTACATGGATAGTATCTGAATTCCAAAATCTATTTAATCTATTAAAGATGTAGAGTATAAAATTATGCATTCCTGTTAGGATTTAACTTTTAGTTTTTTTGGATTATTTTAATCTTTTTATGTAGATTATTTTCAATTATATATATTCATGATACCTTCGTGTTTTAATATTTAGTTAAGGTTTTTTTCAAGTTTAATTTATTTTTCAAGCTTTAAAATATATCTATGTTATATTTTAGTATTATTTTTCATATTTATCTTAATACGTTTTGTTCCTATTTTATTTTTCTTGGTCGTGTGATTCTTTATCCCATATTTTTTTTAATGATTTCATGGCAGTACGAATTATTCAGTTTCTAAAATTTCAATTCTTTAATTTCTCTTATTTGAGATTTTATTTTTATATTTAAAAGGTACAATATCATTTATATTTATCATTTTAAAAATAAAAAAATGATATTTGATTTGTCAATTTTCAATTTTAAAAAGTAGCTTTTAAGAGTAATAAACGGTCAATTTTATTTATTCCTATTATAATTTTGACTATCTAACAAATAATTTCATTGTTTGGATATTTAGTTACATAATTTGATTTAATGTATCATGTCTTAGATTTACTTATTTTTAAAATTATAAAAATATTTTTAATTAAAAGTTAATAACCACATTTATTATTTCAAATTTAGATCATATTCAATGTTTTCTACACATCTTATTTTATTGTCTTATTTTTTAGTTGGAATACTATATTTTTTATAATAAAATATCAATAAATACTAACATATTTTATTTGAAAAACTAAATATTAGTACCATTTAAAAATTCGGTTTAGTTGTCATTCTATAGGTTAAATATTAGAGACATTATATTAAAATATTTAAAACCACGTGCAATGCAGGTGATATTAACTAGTTACATAAAAGTATTGAAGGTATAAAATTTACACTATCATCCAATTTACTAATATATCCTTTTGTATCTATACCTCAATATTAATTAATTTTTAAGATCCAAAATTTGTTACATTTTAAATCCTTTGAATTTTGCCTAATTAGACTTTCCAAAGTAAAAAATACCGAATCTCGAAAATTATCCATTATTGAAAAAATTCGAAAACCTCCTTCCTTTGACTTTTCTTTTTCCTCTGTCGTTCTGTTTTCGTCCATTCCTTCGTCTTTGTCTGCTGTCTCTGTTCCTTCGTCTCTGGTCGCCATCTCCGTTCTCCTTCATTGTCGGAACCATCCGTCTAGCTTCTCCTTTGTCTTCGGTCGCCCGTCCATTGTTTTCGTCCGTTTATCCCGAGGTTTCTTTTTTGTCCCCGGCCACCCGTCGACCATTCAAGCCCTCTATTTATCCCGACTGT